GTAGAAAATCCAACCGTCGAAAACGTATCAGTAGGCCCAGAAAGGGCAGAGATGAAATGCAAAACGAAACAGAGATGAAATGCAAAACGGGCAGAGATGAAATGCAAAACGAAAATAATTCCGTGTGTGATGACTTGGGATGGGATAGTGACGAACATTTACAATCGTTACGCGAAGGAAATCAGTATATCTGATCACGATGAAGCATATATCCAGTCGATAGTGCTCCAGAAAACGCTCAAAAGCATCTCATCCGATCAGCGCTGTAAATTCGACGAGGACGAAACAGCGGAGATCAGCACAGCAGAATTGAGCGTGATGCGAATGCAGCGAAAATGCCAGAATACGATCCAGTGCCAGAATCAATAATCAAAAAAAGAAGAATAACCTTCGTTCGATTATGATTTATTGACATATATATATGATAATATGATATAGTATAGTGATATGAAAACGCAAATTTTACAGATTTCATGCTAATCAGATGAAAACGTTTTGCTATACAGCTGCTGAACAACGCTTTGGTTTGTTCGTGTCAAAAAGTAGGTTTTCTTGGACTCTAGTCAAAATATTCATAAATTACTTGTGAAATTTCGCAGATTTCTTCATCATCGAAGTCCTTGATTACTTTTTCACCGATACTATCCTTCAAAATGCACCGACAACCACCCAGTGGCTTAGAAGAACACATTTTAATATTACGATGTTGATCGGAGAGTCCTACATTCAAATTTACTTTAAACCACTAAATTCTTTTAATCGATGTAGAAAAATTGTAGTTTCATTTCTAATCATTAGTTTGATTTTTATTTAATGTTTCTTTCAGAGTTTTGTCATTTTTATTCAGTGTTAATTCTTGTGTGATGATTTGAAAAGAAACTAAAAAAATTTTAGTTGAATCACAAGTAAAGCTAGTTAAGATGGAAGAAAGAAAGCAGAAACATGGATCAGGGAGCTATGAAACATTTTTAACATTTTATTATTTAATATTATTTCACATGCGTAAATATTGATAGATTTCAATGAGTTCTATCCGGAAAATTATCGTAAGATGATTATTTCAGTGCTTCAGTTCTTTCCAATTATTATTAAAGGGGAAACACTTATTGCTAGAAGTTATATTGTTAACCCTACCTTCAGCAGGTATTTTGCACATTTCATATGAATCATAATATTTGATGGTTTTACTTCCACTATTTGTAATGGAAGCACATCGACATCCGCCAGTAGGGAGTGGAAAGCAATTTTCTCGAAAATCGTATCTTTCTCGAATTGCAGCTACTGCATCTCGTTTTTCGACATTTCTGCTTACTACCTGTAGAATGATAAACATATGCCATTGTACTTCTTGATTTCGTTAAGAATTCTGTACACTTCATAAAAAATAATTCTAGATTAAAAATTACGGGAATGAAAATTTGAGATGATTACTGGTGACTGATAATTAAGGAATAAATAACAATTGTCAGATTTTTGTTTGCGGTCTTTTTTACTGCAGAAAAAAAGTGCTAAAAAAGCATGCAAAAGCAAAACGCAATTGGCATAGCTTCTTATTAAAGAATAAAAAAGTTTGCAAAAAGTTTTTATAACGAATCTACGAGGGAAAGAATGATGTATTCGTCACGTTCTTAAAATGTATATTTTTAACGCATTTTAAGCAAAGATAGCGTCATCCAGTAATCACAGTAATTAAATTACTCTAATTTTACGTCACCAACTTTAGTAAATGCGTAATATTGTGAGAGTGAGTAGGATATCTCATCTCTTTTCATGATGAACACAGATCAAAAACTAGCGCCTTTCAATGTAGTAGTAACATTGACAGTAATAACAGAATAAAAAAACGATAGTGATAGTAACAAATATATGCAGTTATAAAAGTGAGTAGAAAACAAACCACTGTTGTGAAAGTAGAGGTAATGATGATTAGTACAGATAACAGTGATAACATTTGAAGGAGCACGCAAGCAAGCATTCTAGCGTTTCTTTACTAAACGAGGAAGCACTGCTATAAAATTGAAATGCTAAAGGTGGGGCACACGCGTCAAAAAATCTGATGTATAGGCAGCCTAAGCAAAAGTTGTTCCAAAGTATTATTCATTTTTCATCAGGCAGTTGGTAAGGATCTTACGAAGGATATATTGATAGCTGTTGAAAACTGCTCCAGCTTTATTCTTTGCAGCCGCACTGCAAAACTATTATGTCAGAGGTAAATAATAACGCACACTAAAATTGAAAGCATGGAGAACAAATTGAAGCTTCAGCCAGGAATATAATTTTTTATTTGATTAAGAAGAAATAAATTTCAGTCATCAAGAAGAAATAAATTTCAGTTTTCTTTTCATCATTTTGAATCTTTTGAATAATGGCTATCGGTAAACAAACGGAAGATATTTATAATGGTAAGGATTATTCCAATTATTTGCTTCAAAACTTTTTTCCTTATTTATTTGTTGTTTAATGCATGTTATCATTTGCCACTGACTGATGATCATTTGTAGCAAACAACAGCTGCTTATGTACGAGAGATTTGTGATGTGAATATATATATATATAGAAGAGATGACGAGGCGAGAGAAGAATCCATTGGGGTGGAAGGCAAGCATAGAAACGAAGGTAAGCTTGTTGAATTTTCACAAATCCCTCGTGGAGCGGACTTTGGCCGAGGAAAACTGGGAGGTGAAGATCTAATGGAAGCCAAAAAGTGTTTTAAGTATGATGGAAATATTTTCCTTTTATTTAATTATTTGAAACGATAATCTTTAATCACTCATGATGTTTGTTTTGCTTTTAACACATCCAAATTTCGAAACAGTTTAACAAAAATATATAAAGACATTAGTCATTACATACTTCCAGTGCATGTAATTTGTCTTAAACTAATTAAAACAAGCTTCACACGAAGTGAAAGACCAAATATTGAAAAAAACAATAGTATCTTAGGAGTCCACATTTTTCAGATTACCAACAAGTAAAAATTATCCGTTAATAAGGATATTAATAAGGTTAATAAAAAAAGTAAGAAAAAACATCAGAACATAGTAGTAGCGACTTTCTTCTTGATCGTAGAATTAGTGCTGCCGTGCTATTTTCAGTGCAATACACTAATTTCAATCCATATATCAAATTTCTGTCCATTACTTAAGAGTTGTAATAGCAACATACCATGCACTGTAATTTAGTCCCTTTTCACCATTACTGTTTTCATGTTTGAAGTTTATATATTCACAAAATGACTTTTGCGGAAAAATACACATGAATATACACGCATTTCAAAATTTTATCATGAATAAAGTACGAAAAAGTGTGGTAAAATGTTACTTACAAAAATTTGTCCATCCATTTGGTTGGCTTTACAAGTTGAATGACCTGGACACTGGCCATTTGCATTACAAGAACCTATTTGTACACCAATACCACAATTACATTTTGCGTTTGCATCAGTTTCAGGAATGAGAGATAAAGGATATGAAGGAAGCTTGGTTATTGTCGGATATGTCGGAGTAATTTGTGGATATGCAATTTGAGCTGGAATTGGTCCCGGATTTTCTTCTGGAAATGAGAGAAATACTACACGATTTAGACTGCAGTCTTTGTAAATTAATTTTCATATTTATTACATACTTTTAATTGCATTTAGTGCAATTTGTCACTCCTAAAATTAAGTTTTTCTGCTGTATTTTAGTTATATCATCAATAAGAAAATAAAATACAGTTAATTTAGAACATATAACAACGAATGAATATTTGATAAAAGAAACTTACCGTGATTCCAAACACAAACTTGCAACTGAGCATTGAAGATAAGGTCTGGTTCACAAGGCATACGTTGCCACCTTCCGCAATACGAACTTTTTGGTGCTGGTTGGCACTGCAGAAAATGCGAAGGACTTTCGGGATCAGCAATTAGTGGATCAATCATCCACGAACAAATACCTTGATACCTAGCATTTTGCAAGCTTTGTCCATTAACTAGAATTAGCATTTTCAATCAAAAACAATCAGAAATTGTAATCCAATCAACACTGCAAGAGAAGTAGAAATCTGCTAAATTTTCAAAGGTTATCACGTATCACAATATTTGTGCCTGGAACGAGCACTTAATTTTTATTGTTCTAGAAAGCTTTTTTAGCAAATGTATAAAAGCTTGAAATAAAATAAAATCATAAAAGTAATATACAAATTATCTCATATAGGGAGATCATAGTTTTGTCAACTAATTTCTTTTATTAAAATGCATCGTAAATCTTCTCTTACTGTGCATCATATATTACTTCTACTATTTCCATCTGCAGAACAAGTTCTAACCTAAAGCACAAGGTTGTGATGCAGTAACATCAAGTAATGGTATTTTAACTTGTTTCTGTAACTGTGGACAATAAAGTTCTCCACTATCTAAAAACCTGCAGCCTGCACGAGTTTGTTGACTCTATAAAAAATAGTACTGTTTAACTTTGTACTGATGATTTATATTAATGAAGTATCAAGGAAATCAATCGAATAAAGTAAATGAAAAATAAATGGTCAGCAAAACCTAAATAGATCAAGAAAGATGAAAATACATACTGGTAGCTGAGGGAAACCGTATGCTGTTGGAAAAGACGGAAAGGAGATAGCGGCTGGAGTGTAAGCTGTCGAGATGCCACAAATGCAGGAAGATGTTGTACAGTCACGACAATGTGTAATCTAAAATGCATTAGCAATGCCTCAAGATTATATATAGGTTATATTACTCAAGTTTGAGGTAATTGTGGGCGTGTGCCTGTTCTTGGACGAAACACAACATTTTCTCGTAACTTCTGTTTCTATTCTTTTCTCTGCCTTACTTCTGACTGTTATGGCGATGTTATCATCAACGATGGAAGTAAATGGCAAAAATACCAGTGCGAGCAGTTGCGACAACAATCGCAATGGTATCGACAGCCAACGACGCCAGAACGGTGCAAATGGTAGCAGTACGAGAGAACATTCCAGCAGACCAATTGATGAATTACCTAATGGTGAAAAAAAGGTATCGGGGTAGAAGGCATTTACTTTGGCTGGAAATGTATAAAACTTGGAGGTAAAGACCTAAAAGAGGCCAAGAAATGTATAAGGGAGATGAATCTCATATTTGTTTTAAAACGTGACTATCGTAAAGCGTTAAGCATATTGACAGATCGTGCGAGGGGAAACGAAAGTAAAATAAAGAGTTATGAGACCTGATGTACATTCAAAATACAAAATGCTAGACTTGAACTGTTCAGAAGACGGTTCTATAGAAATCTGATTGAAAAACAGCTCTGTAAGGACTGAGTAAATGAGGGATTTTTGGGGCACTATGTGGAACTTCGGGATTGGAAAGGAAAATGATATCCAGCACAGCGAATATCTGAAACAATTCATTCCAGATAATGAAGTGCATCATACTTTCCATTCTGAAGCTGAATTTGGAAAGATAGTTTCCTATATGATCAATTGGAAAGAGGCAGGGCCTGATGGAGTCTATAACTTCTTTATTGAAAAGTGCACCTCCTTTCATCCAGACCTGTACAAAATAGTGAGAAGGATTTATCTGGATGAGGAGGAACAGAATCCGTGGTTCTATAAACATACTACCTACCTGATTCCAAAAGGTATCCCAAGTAAAGGCAGCGGCTTTATTATATATGTACAATAAACTCGTGCTTTAAAAAATTTGCAAGACATTACAGGCAAGTTATTTTGAGTTACTTGCTTGCAAATATGTGTTATGTGTCTGACTAATCGATAAGGATAAAATTAGATCTGAATTTGATGAGGATAAATTTTAAATGATTAAAGATTTACGGGTATGTCGCAAACATGATGATCGGGGCAGGCTACATCACGAACAAAACGAACCTGAAAGTTAAAAAGAACTGCTTAATTGTGCAAAATTCTTATTTCATTCCAAAGATAGGATATGTCTTGCGTTTTATTTTCAATTTATTTAACAAAATTAATTCGTTTTCAGCAATTAATTAGTTGGTAATTAATGACTGTAACTTAATAAATGCTTCCTTTTTTCATTTTTGACTTTAATTATTTAGAACTTTTTACTTTTGATCCGTTGCTTTTATCGCTGTATGGAACAAGCTCAATAGTTGTTATTTTTGGACATTCACATTTTTTCTCCTCATCGAGACAGATACATTGTTCCATTTGTTGTTCAACTTCCTTCACCATGTACTAAAGCGAAAGTCAGTTCTCAGTGTTGCATGTTAGCAAAATTGTTTTTTTCAAAGAACTTCAAAATCTTACTCTTGAGTTTATTTTTGGCTGAAGACAAAATTCATAATATTCCCTATTTGGTCCGTCGCATAATTGTTGCTGATTTTCAATGAAATCAATAGTTTCACATTTTCGTGCAGGCGCTACAAACTGATATCCGGAAGGGCACTTTTTCGTTATCCAAATCCCAAGATGAGTTCTAAAATGAGTATACATTAACCAAATATATTGAGGTTCTTGGGAGGAAGCACTTTAGAGATGGAAATGATAATGTACATCTAACCGATTTCCGGTATTATCAGCTTGGAAGACACATTCAATGTATTTGCTTGGATCGTTTGTTGGACGTGGAATTGATGGCAACTGACAGATGTCCCCGATAATACTACGCCAAAATGGGTGAGGACTGACAGCATTCCCATTTCCGTTACCACTTAAGCTATTACTATCTTTGAATTTAGTCGCATCGCATTGTGCTATAACGTTTTTTGCATTTGATAGTGCTTGATAATAAGAGAGTTGTATGACAATCATGCAGTTAGATGCATGAAAAAATAGTTTAGATTTTATTCTCAGAAAAGAATTTGAAACTTCAAATTTATTCATTTATTCAAAATCGTTTCATCTAAAACTAATGGAAATCACTACAGGCATTGTGTTCACTAAGTTTTCATAGATAAAACTTTCTACTTTGACAAGTGTAATCAGTGGATTAAATCAGCAGAAGCCAATCTTAGACATGATTTTCATTGGAAATATAATTTTTTGAAAAGTTTTTTTGTTCCGTTATACACATAACGCCAGGAAAAATTAGACATGAAGAAAATAATTGTAAAGCTTACCTAAGTAGGTGAAGAATAAGCTAATGAAAAGAGTTATAAGGTGCATATTATTGGATGAGTATAAATTGCAGAAAATAGAAAAAAGAAAGTTCAGCGGAGGAAAAAATGTGAAGAAATTTGAGTAGCTTTGGATGCTTTGCCTATTTGTAGGGTTGGAGAGGAAAAACGCTTTCCGTGAAAACTAGACTTGTTTCTTGTCATTCATTTAAGTGATTTGTAAGTGCAGGCTGTCAACGCACTTGCAATTACATGCCGTTCTTTTCATCATAACTTTTGCTTTTTCTCATTTAAATTTGTTACCTGTTGTTATGTGCTGCTGTGCATACATTTATTTGTCTCTAAATTTCACTGTACTCAAGACTTTTCTGATGACTGAGACAGGTCTTTTTTCTAGCTCCAGCAGAGCTCAAATTTAACCTCTCCTTCCTTTTCAATTACTCATTACTTTTTGGCGACGCCGTGAAGCATTAATCCTTACATATGGGCAGTTTTCTTGCAATAGACATAAATGTTCTCTGTGTGCGTATTTATGCATCTATCTATATGCTTGCTTTTCTGGAAGCGATTCGTTTATAAAATGTTTACTTTTTTGCGCTCATTACATGTTTGTATGTATGAGATACATACAAACATGTAATATACAACGTGATTCACTAAGATAACAAATCAGACATGCCAATCGAATGCCATGTTATCTACTTATTTCACAAAAAAGATTATGTCAACATAACTATAACCTGTACTACTGACATGTTTTCTTTAGGTACATAAGTCTACCACATTGTAAGCTTCTGCTTTCGTCTTTAATGTCTTTGATGTGGTTACCACTTGTTCATCATGATTCTTTTAGTCATTCAATAGCAATTACAAAATTTTTCAATTTTGAAAGAATATTAGAGATACCATCATATGTCCATTATTTATCCATTATTTTTAGGCAAAATCTTTTCGAATATAAACTCTTTCCGTACACTTTTCAAGCTTTCGTCATTGAAAAATTGACAGGCTTATCTTTATTTCAGAGGTCACATTTATTATGAAGGAACAAGCTCAAAGATTTCATTCATCTCATTTAAAAATATTATAGCGATTTCCAAAATCTTAGGCGAATTAATTAGGTTCTTGGATGTTATTTTCTTTCTTTAGTCGAATCCATACGGTCACAAGTTTTGGTAAAAATATTTCACTCATGGCTTCACTTTAAAAAAAAATTATCTTTATGAGAGCCATAGCTTTCGATGTCTCACATCATGAGCTAAATCATTATTGTTTAAAAACATATCAACTGAAGCAATGATCACTGACTGGAAAAAGTAATTCTTTAAGTCAATTTGCATTAAGCAAGAAGAGAAAATCACTTTTTACATATTGTTGATTAACGAAACCATTCTCTAGTACTTCTCAACAAATCAGAAATTGACAATTTTTCCTTAATTAACGGTCTACATTCATAATTATGAAACTTGCAACGGGTCTTCAAAAACAATCGCAGGGATTATGTACATTGGCATGAGAGCTAATTATTTCCATCATGCTTTGAGAATGAGATGATCTCATTCTCAGAAGCTGACCCATACCTTAACAAAACTTACATGATTTTTCCAATATGAATGTATCCTTTCATTTTGTTATCCTAACATACCAAATAATGGAATGTGCTAAAGGAATATCAAATTTCAATTCCACTCTAAACTTCAGCTCGAAAATTTTGTACTCTCTTTATATCTATTTTTTGATAACTAAGAATTAACTCAATTCACTTTGCTTCGAATTCAGAACTGTCGATGTTTTAAATCCGAGGCCATCAGAAATAAAACAAAGGACATAACAAAACTAATTAAGTGTTAGCCAAAGTTCCCAGATCAGATTCAATCGAAAGGAACAAGTCCTAAGACGCAGGTCCGACTACAAGCTTTTTAACCACAGCAATGAAGATACACAGCACTTTGAGATCTAGAATTGATGGTACCAGACTTATCCTCTTATAGATACCCGTTAACAGGTTTAAATGCACTCATTCCGATAACCGGCGTCAAAGGGAACGGTTTCGTCATTTTGTCTTTTCTTCCTCATGCCGAGAGTTGGTAATTTAGATCTCTGCTGTATGTTTTGATGTGATAGCCATTTCTCAGGCTGCTTCTCCGGAGTCGAACACCCTCCATCATCCTTTACAACCATGGTAGGCCACATAGACTATCACGAAAAGTTGATAAAGCAACACGTGAAATACGGTATCGGTACAAGATTATGCTATCATCTATAGCTACTCAGATTCACCAATTACTTCATGAATTCTTTTACAAACCCCATTGGTTTCTCCATTCTAATAGATGCTATTATCCTTTTAGTTTGGTCTCTGGTGCATTAACTAGCTCGAGAACTGTCAGTTACCTACCCGCGTTAGACTAATCAACATCAAGCACATTATAGCTGTTATAATGAACAGTTCGCGGTTCCAGCATTATAGGTTATTTGAGATTAGATATGCATGGCTTAGCTTTTGAGACAAGCATATAGCCGCGGACAGAGTCGATCGGGTAGATATGAATAGTGATACACGTTGTGCGAGTATACTACATCATAATTTCATCTTGCTATTGTAATATGTACGCACACAAGTAAAATAATTTTGCAGTTACTTATAAATGCTATGCATTTATCATAATGCACTTCTACCTGCCAGCTGCACAAGAACTTCACCACAGTTTCATTACCATGCATGCATGCATTCATTTATAGCAAATACCAATTATAAGCAATCACTTCTTCTCAATCTCAAAATGAATGCGAATGCGCTGATTTTTTGCAAGTCATGACCACAATGATGGTAGGTGATAGTAATGAAAACAAGGCAAGCAATGAAGAAGCCTGACTATATGTGTGCAAATATGAACATAACTGCTTCTGCTATTACTTTGGCTTCTACTGCTTCATATTTATTTATTATCATCCATTGTGAAAATAACAATAAGATAAACAAAATTGACAAATACATGCCGAAAACGTTTGTTAAAGACTGCTTGACAGCAGTAACAATGATCATTCATTTTTTCTTTTCTTAGCGTAAGTCAAGATACCAGTACCTCTACCTACAAGATACTCTAATTTTACATTGAGTAGCAGATATTCCCATAGGAAATCATAATTACTTTTACAGCGATATGCTCCATAGGGTTCCAAAACTTTCTTGATAGCCGCGGTAGCTTTCATCAAATGGTAGTGCGGGATTTTCGTAAAAAAAAAATGATGAGCAACATGCCCTAAAAATGACAGGTATCGGACAATTACCAACTGAAAAATAATATGAAAAATTTAATAACGTTCGTCAACTACTACCATCATTTAAGGAAATAAAAAATAACATTCTGCAAATGCTCAAGTACATAACATTCTGTAAGCCTCTTAAGTCACTTAAGCTAAATAAAAAATCATTCAGTTTTCTGAAATCACTCTTCCTAATTTTGAAGCCAAATGAGAACTTGAAGATCATTACTTACCATCTGTAATATGATGCATTGCCACATCAATACCAAAACCGTAAACACGGTCAATTGTTTGCACCTGCCCCATAACGTAACTCCAATAGCCTTCTTCATATACCTATAGAAATGAAAGGCAGAAATTAATTGAAAAGAATAGTGAAAAAGTGTTCATATTACGCAATACTTGATAAAAGTCACGTAGAACTAGTAAACTTCCATTTTTATCCAATTTTTTACTTGAGAGAATTCAAGTGATAGCTTTATCCAAATGTGAGGACTTTAGCTTTAAGATTCGAATTAAATTAGTACTGCCGAAAAAGATAGATTTATACATGGCTTTATTTTTTAAAGCTACTAATCATGAGGATGAAGTTTACCGTTGTCAGGCTTACACATAGAATTTGCTGAGTATTTCAGGTTTGTTACCAAAAAAAGCAGACAATTATATGAGCTTATACTAATGATATAGAAATGCATGGACAGGAGAACGTACCTCAATACTATAATCATTGTGCTGAAGGTAAGTGATGATAACAAGCCAATAGCCTTGGAAGAGTAACGAAATATAATAATATTTGATGAATAAAAACCAGCTATAGTCACATATAACAAAAGCTCCCTGAAATTAGGATCCAAAAGTATTTATGTTACAGAATATATCTTCAAATAATTTTTCAAAGATCTTGCAAAAATGAACTAACCACAGCACAAAGCAAACATGACAAGCCACTAATAAGACATTGCACTCGTTCGCGGTTATTGTTGAAAAGCTTACTATAAGGCCAAAAATGACTACCATCCGGTAAACCAACTACCGTATAGATAGGATTCCATCTTCAAAAAATAAATAAAAATAAACAACTATAAATAAATGAATAAGTAATAATAATTTTATTAATCAGAGGATGAATAATAATCTTCTTTTCTGCAATATTGATTCTGGCGCTGGATCTTATTCTGTAACTATCACTACACTCGCCTCGCCTTCAGTTCTACTGTGCCGATCTCCATCGCCGTCGAATCCACAGCGTAGATCAAAAGATATGCTTTCAAGCGCCTTCTTGAGTATTATCGACTGGGTTCACGCCTCCACATGATCAGATATATTCATATTCTTTGCGTAGCGTTCATAGAAGTTCGTTACAATCCCATATCCCAAGTCATCATCATACGGAATTTTTTTCGTCCTGCATTTTATCTGTGATGCAAGCTTATTATTAGCAAGTTGGCCATATTTTCGCTTTTTCTCAATCTCGTCTGCTGTCAAGCTGTCTTAACTAGTGATGCCAACCTCAATCAGGATTACTTCACGTCGGTTCTTATCCTATATCATGATATCCGGTCCATCCGCTTTTATTCTGATTGCAGTTCTCAC